AATAACTACTAGAGCTGTTACAATTACATGTGCATTAAAAAATCGTTTGGTTGCATTTTTAAACTGCATAATGGTTCCACAGACAATACATGGTATACAGAGAAAGAGAGAGAGAGAGAGAGAGAGAGAGAGAGAGAGAGAGAGAGAGAGAGAGAATTGTGTGAGTGTGTGTGTGTGTGTGAGAGAGAGAGAGAGAGATACAGAGAGAGGGGGGAGGGAGAGAGAGAGAGAGGGGGGAGGGAAGGGGTGATAAAAGGGGAGAGAGAACTGATTTCAATAGCACATGCGAATTATAATATGGCATGTAGGTGATCCAAACCCTATGAAAATCATGTTTCTGTTATGTCGCTAAATAATATGTAAGATTTGGTTTGTGGATACAAGTAGGAATGAAATGTCCGGGACTAAAAACAGTGACAAATAAATAATGTGGCATCTGATGTGAAGTCTGACTTCAAGTCATAATAAAACAAAGATCCAAGGTAAAAGTACCCAAATAATGATAATGATGCAAGTACATGTATTAGATAAATCAGCGTGAATTAATTTTAGTTAGATCTATCTGTAAAGTAACAGTATAGTACGCACAAAGTCTACATTAAGCAAAGACATTTCGACTTGTGAAATAAAACTTATGACAGCTTTTGAGAGTGCACGAATCAACTGGAATAAGTATGTACAGGTATACTGAGATTCGTAGGCTGCTCCTCTGATTTGATTTGTAACGAAAGTAACTAAAGTATTGACCGCGGTTACTTCAACTTTATACTTGAATGTAGAACAATTTCATCTCACTACTCTCACCAGTTTACAGTTTTAATCAGGGTTTTATGTGTGTGTGTGTATGTGTGGGGTGTGTGGGGGGTGTGGGGTGTTGGTGTGTGTATCTGTGTGTGTTTGTTTGTGTGTGTGTTTGTGTGTGTGTGTGTGTGTGTGTGTGTGTGTGTGTGTGTGTGTGTATGTGAAGGGGTGGGTGGGGAAGGTGTATGTGTGGGGGTGTGTGGGGTGTGTGGGGGTGTGGGGTGTTGGTGTGTGTATCTGTGTGTGTGTTTGTGTGTGTGTTTGTGTGTGTGTGTGTGTGTGTGTGTGTGTGTGTGTGTGTGTGTAAGTGGTCCCATTTATTATGTACATGAGAGAATCTATCTAATAAAAACTTCTCACTGATTGAGTGAGAGCGCTCTCTCTATACGGAAAGTAGCCACTTGTTTAAGACTGAATAGGCCAAATAAAAATTATGCCACTACTTTCACGAGTTCTCAGTTCTAATCTGGGGAATTAAAGCATTTTTTTTCTTTACCGCACTAGGACAAACGTTCACGGTTAGCATAGTTGGAAGGAGATAAAATTGAAACTAAAAGCACTTATGAATTTAAAAAATGATTTTGGTCTAACATGTACATATTATATACAACGCTATGTTACCTAGCCCCCTTCCCATCCAAATAAATAATTAAAAAAAAAAAATAAATAAATAAATAAATAAATAAATAAATAAATAAATAAATAAATAAATAAAAAATAATAATTTTTTTAAAAATTAAAAAAATGTATATTTACTTAAGATCAACATTATAGCCATCTACTACATACATCAGGGACAGAGCTGCAAATTCTAGCTCCCGAACTCGCCGGTTTCAGATCTTGACAGAAGCAGCGACCCCTTGCATCATGCTTGAAATAGTCACTAGCGAAAATGTCCACAAAAGACGTGTGGGTGACGATTTGGGGGGGGGGGGGGGTGCAGACGATCAGGGTGTAGACGAGTTTCTACATTGCTATCCGAATGTCTAAGAAGATACAAAATGTTCACAAGTGTTGGGAGTGAGGAAACTTGGTGTCAGGCTGGTTCTCGAGTCAACACACGATTTTTGTCTTCAGTTTCAGCGCTTTCCCTCTGGAATGAAGATTTCTGTATTCTTCTTTGATGTGAGAGCGTTTACGACGTTTTGGTACAGACGCGACAGGGGCGGGAGACTTGTCGATGACGTCACGCTGGGGCCGACTCTCTGACTGCCCGTGATCGTTGAGTTGTTGATGAATTTCCAAGATCGAGGCTCGCTCTGCCGGTGAGGGACAAAGGAGGCGTTCAGCGCATACTCTATGAATGTCTGGCACAGACTCGGCACCTCTCAGTAACTCCAAGTAATCCAAGCCTTTGAGTGGGTATACGTAGAGCGACAAGGCACAGAGAAAGACTCCCAGCGAGAAGCTTTCAAGTTTATATACATCCTCCACAGGTTGACCTCTGATGTACTCAGGTCCGTTGTATGCACGAGTGCCGCCCCAAAGTTTAGAACTTTTGTTGGGAATGAGCTGAGCCATACCGAAGTCGCATAATTTGGCGTTTCCTTGCATGTCTATCAACACGTTTTCAAGTTTGACGTCTCCGTGAACGATGTGCCGGTCGTGGAGATACAGCAAGGCGTCGACGACCTGAGTAAAGTACTTGGTGATCTCGGCGTCCGTGAGACAAGGCATAGCGCGATAGAGGTCGATGGGGTGGTATTCCATCGCTATGACAAACTCTCCCGGACATGCGAGCGCTTTGTCAACTTGGATGATGTTGGGGTGTTGAACATTTTGGAGAAACCGAATCTCATTGCAGAAATAGAAACGCTTCTTGCGGTAATCGCGTTCATCGTCAAGAAACATGAGTTTTTTCAAAGCCTTTCTCTTAGCTGGGTCGTTCACATCTGTAGCTACAACGACCTGGCAGGAACCACCTTTCGCTAATTTCTTGTCTTCTTTCAGACCAAGCGCCTCTGTTGCACTGACCGAGTAGGTCTCGTAGACCTCGGGGTGAAGGTTCATCATAGTGGACATAGTGAAGCTCTGTACGATGAAGCACACAACACAAACCACACCAAGCACTTGCACCAAGAAAAATACACGTGAACAGTCACACCGTTCGTATCTTCTTGTCAGTCACTAACTCAATCCAGCACCTTGTGTCAAAGTTGATCAAGTACACACTCAAGTACAGAACTGAACAAAAAGTGTTTCCTGGTCAAACGTCCAGACGTGTAAGAGTCCCAGGAATAATCGTAAGAACAGTTTGTTAACACAGCGATATAACTCCCAGAAGCATAAAACAGTGGACTTGAACCACAGCGATAATACTCTCAGAAATATACAACCGAGGACTTGAACCACAACGATGCTACTCCTAGATGTATAAAACTGTGTATTTGAAGTCACAAAAAAGCAGTGTCGCGCAGGAGATGAAATCCAAAAGTGACGCGAATTCAGAGAGAAAGACAAAGAAATTCGAGAACAGAATCGCAAGCAAGCAAATGTTTTGCCTCGTCCAATCACTGGGACAGAACGAGAACATAATGACCAATCGTTTTTCTTAAACGTGACGTAATTTCAAAAATTGAACAAAGTCACCACATGGTCAGCACGTGGGCTGGTCAGTGGTCATGCCCTCAGGTGAAAAAATTCGTGACTGACACGCGGCTCAACCAATCAGATGGCGTCTCTACCAAGCGCACCCATCCATAACTAGAGGTACACGAGAGCGTCCATAGCAGATCTAGCCCATAGTGTAATACCTTCGTTACGACTTAATCCTTTCCTTATCAAAACTGTGAAAAAACATGAATAGATTTGCCGAATTTTCTTTGTACGTAATATTCTATGGTGAAGTCTGACACCTGATAAGCTTTGTGGTGTAGGGGTTACTCTCTTCTTTGTGTACCCGAAGGACACGAGTTCCCGCTGGAGGTGGATACTTCTTTCTTCTTTCTTGCTTTCTTTCTTTTTTTTTCTTTCTTAATATCTTTCTCTCTTTCTCGTTTTCTGCCTTAATATTTTAAAAATTTCTTTCCCTTTTTTTTCTGGAGACAACCCCCCGCCTCAACAACAAAAAAAAGACCAACAACAGACCGCATGACTTAAAATATGAAAACTGATAAAAGAAATAAAATAAAATGACCACCTCTTTGTAACGCTCTGTTCTCCCGGCAGGCCTCTAAAATGATGATCCAGCGATGATTAAAAATTTTTAATTTTTGTCAGAAGCCTCGTGCAAAATCGTTGCCTTATCTCCCCCCCCCCCCCCTCCACCCTTCCAAAAAAGTCCTTCCGAAATAATAACATTAAAAAAAAAACATACACACGTCACTCCGGTCTTCCATCTCCATTCAAATTGTCTTTCAGAGACATAACAAAAGCAAGATAAATGAACAAGCTGTAAGATGATACAAATAACTCCATATGCCCAACAATAGATGAGAGCCTGGTTCCCCCTTGTTTTCCCCGATGGATAATTTACCTGTAGAAAGAACTGTTAAATTTTACAGGAAATTATTGGGTTCTTTTAAAATCGGGGGGGGAATTGGGGGTGGGGGGGGGGGGGGGGGGGTCCAAAACTTTTGGGGAGGAAGAAGATTCCCGCGGAAAAAAAAAAAACACCTCTTTTGCGGACCAAAGGGTTTATAAAACCCCCCCCCCCCCCCCCCTAAAAAGGTTTCTTAAAATTAAGAGTATATTTATTTATTTTTATTCATTTTTTATTTATTTAAAAAAAAATATTTTTTTACAATTTTTTTGGGGGGTGTTCTTTGTTTGGTTTCTTTTGTGTTTTTAAGAAAACCCTGTGAGTACAAAATCTGGGAAATGTGAACCGCTATATGGCGAGGGAATTGGCAGAATTTTTGCTGCTTATTTGTGATCGTGTGGGGTGAATAGGATGCGCGCGTGTGTGTGTAGATGTGTGTGTATGTGTGTGTGTATGTATGTGTGTGCGTGTGTGTGTGTGTATGTGCGTGTAGATATGTGTGTGTGTGTGTGTGTGTGTGTGTGTGTGTGTGTGTGTGTGTGTGTGT